TTTTATTTGCTAACCGCAAGTAGTAGTAGTACTTTTTTTTTTTTTTTTTGCATGTACATCTAAATGCAAGGAATTAATTCAGGAAAAAATGGATACCTGCTCACCAGATGGAGAGAAACTGCCCCTTGGGGCTTGGGGTTTATTGCTGCTCTACCAGAAATTCTTGCCGGTCTATTGCTGGATTCTTCCATTCTCACCATCTCATTTCATCTGTTGATTTTGGCCGCCACTCAATCTTCTCGAGCACCACTACTACCTTCTCAGCCACCCATCACCCATCCCCAATCCTTCAATAGCCATTGCTTACAATAGATCAAATTTTTACGATAGAGGTAATATTTGTTGTCATCTCCAATTAAAAGTTTAGGGTTTCTGATTGAACGCAGATTTTTTTTATTTTAGGTTTCAGTCAGTGATAGCAAATAGTCCAATTGAGGATTCTTTTCACAGATCTTCTATTCTAAAGTAGATTTTTAGATTTCCTTCAAGCATGGTCTCTAACTCTACACTAGAGCTTTCTATTCCTTGTTTTTTTTTTTTTTTTTGGTGTTTCTTAGCTTGCGTTATTTTCCTTCTTTCGATTCTTTTGGCAACTAGTCTTTTGTTTACTGAGAAAATGAGGGATTATTTCTAAGGAGAAAAGCTAGAAATATTCCACACAATGTGTTAACTAATGATTGAGGGTACTTAGTCCATTGTTGGAAATTTGGTGATGGCAAGGTATGGAACTTTTGTTTAGTTGTATGGCTTATTTGATTACTTAAATGTTAATAATCCTAAATTTTATAGAAAAAGGAAGAAAAATGCAAGAAGAGTTAGGCAATGCAGAAGATTACAAATACAACCAGCAATAAAAGCTTTGCCATACTACGCGATGAAATGGTAAAATCCAATTTCAAGTTTTTAATGTTCTAAATATATACCATAAAGAAAATAAAGCATTAAATATATTATTTTTATATATTTAATCCATTCGTTTACAAATAACTATCATTCTTTTATTTTTTTAAATTAAAAATTTGAAACAATTCATGTATATAGCTATATTACCTTTAGGAAAAAACCAATAGATAAAGTAAAATTTTTTATGATAGGATAATTAATCAAAATAAGTAGGACTTTTGAAATTATTTTGCCATTCACTTGAATAAAGAAGGCAAATATGCTAATGAAGAAGCAAAAAATACAACGGTGCATCTTTTAGCTATGAATTGCTTGATTGATGGATTAGTTTGTAGCCATATATATAGTCTCTTTAATGTTCTATTGTTTTATTTGCTTCTCATCTTGACTTTTTAATGGCATGTTCTTATTACATATAGATTCCTCTTTATAAGAGCTTGACAATTTTCTACTCTCTACGCAAGATGGAGATGGTGACTGAAGTAATGGGAGATGGAATGATGATGCCTTCGAAGGGGATGAGGAAGAGGAGGAACCAAAGAAATTGTGAACCGGGTCCTTGATGAGATTGGAATTGATGTCAATCAAGACGTAGTATTTTCTTTGTTCCATTTAAAATTATTTTCTTTGATGTAATTTCTTTCTCGATTCTTTTTTAAATTATTATCAAATTAGGAATTTAGTTTTTGCAGTTAAAAATGTTTTTGGATGACTTTAGTTTTTCTACTATTGAAGAAGAGGTTGCCTAACAATAAGATGACTTTAGTTTTTTTTTTATTTCTTGTCTCTAGTTAATTTGGATTAATTTGACAATTTGATGTCATTATGGACCCTAGTGAAGTAGGACTCTGGTTAATTAGGTTTAGCTTGTAAGCTTATAGCTGTTAAGCTTTTCATGTTTTTTGAGCTTAGAATTAGGGATTTTGTTTAGATATTGAAGGTAAATATAAATCATGATTGGCTTTGGTTTCTTCTGTAACTAGCCTAATGATTTGCTATGATGTTTTAGATTACATAAAGTTTGAGTGGTTTTTTGCAACTTAAAACTATATCTTGTTTGCACTCTAAAGTAATGATGATGTTGGTGGCAGCAATGTTAAAGCAGTTCAATATGATATTTTAGGGTTGCAACGAGTTCAATTGTTGGTAGCAACAATGACATTTTCTATTATTTTTTGGCTGTGTCGTCTTTGAATATGATAACTCAAGTTTGGATATTATTTAGGCATTGTTATTATGTTTTATTTAGTTCCGATAAACTTAAATATATATGTTAAGTTTGTGCATATTTTTGATTTATTTTTGATTAATTGATGTTATATTTGATTTGATTAACTATGCTTTGATTCTAAATGGTTTCATCAACAAATAGATATTGTTTTGGCAACAAAAAATAATGAAAAGCGAAAAAAAAAAAAGGAAAAAGAAAAAAAGCACTACTCTTGTGTTTAACCAAAAATGCAAGTAAAAATATCAAATATTGCTATACCTTTTGGAACCTTTGAAAAGGATATTACTTGCATTTTTTAAGTTATTTATCTTCATTTTTAAAAAATGCAAAAAAAAAAAGAGAAGTTTATATCAACATTTACATAAAATATAGGTATGGTATTTACCAGCATTGTCAACGCCAATATTTGTGTAGT